ACGTTAGTTGCTATGAAGCATATAAGGATGGTGAGTGTTTTTTTTTTGTCTTCGCATAGTGTTTTTGCGATTTTTTCCAGGTATTCAGTTGTCTACTCAACTGTTTAACTGGACCCAGAAACCAGGAGAATCTCAATCATAACTTGAAGATAAGAAACAACTAATCGTGAGGAAAAGCAGCCAAAACAGCGTAAAATAGGGAGAAAATAGCTAAAATAGGCTGGAAACAGCTTAACGCGCCGCGTCGCATCCCTTGCCGCAATAATCAACTCACCGGATGACGACCATACATGACTCACGGTGTCGAGCCGATATAATTATAGGAGTTATTCACTGATCTGAAGTAGCAGAGTGCGAAAACAAATCTGGTACCAACCCATAGTCCTTAATGAAGCGAGGTTAGTTGGCCTAAGCCAACTAACCTCGCTTCATTGAGGACTATGGGTTGAGTCGATCCTGGATTTGACCGACGCCACTACTCCACTTCCTCCTTCACCCGCTAAGGAACATCTGGAAACAGAAGTGGAAGATGCTTCCAAGTACTGAAGCCAGTACGTGGATGGAAGCGCGAAGCCACCACGTAACATTTTTTGCTTCCCGAATCTTTGAATGAATGCCAATTTTCCCTAACAATTGGCAAGCGAACGCGTCGAGAAGACGGGCACCGACATCACAAACAGCACAAATCACGTAACAAATAGTTGCGCCCTCAATGAAAATTTCTACTAGTCGACTTTCCGGGCTAATGCCGTTTGGACTCCAGAAATTTCGGCTCCGAGCTCATTTTCAAATTGCCTAAGCCACCAAATCCACTAAAAACTTGTATATAGGGGTAATTCAACATCCTGATTACGAGTATGACACTCATTCTTGGCGCTGGCGCCAAGAGAGGACACTACGATTACCTCCTGGGCTCAGCCTTAGCAGAGCGCAGGTAACCGTAGTGTCATCCATTAGCGCCAGCGCCAAAAATGAATGTCATATTCGTGATCAGGATGTTGAATTACCCCTATATACAAGTTTTTAGCGGATTTGGTGATCTTGCCACTTTTAAAATGAGCTCGCAGCCGAAATTTCTGGAGTCCAAACGGCATTAGCCGACTTTCCGGGTTCCTGCATAGCAAGTAATAAGTAATAGAATTCACTAATGTTCCCTCTTGCTAATCATTTCTCATTCCAGGTCGAAATTGCGGCAGACTTTGACCCAACGAAGTTACGTCCTTGTAAAAATGCTAAATAGTTTGGCACAAAGAAATTACTGTTCTTAATAAAATTTGTATTCGTTTACTCTCCTTAGCGGACCTCTCTTGTTTGCTGTGTGTTGATTCGTTTAATTCGAACTTCACCGCGGAAGACACTTGATGTCGTGCATCTCGTCAGCCTAGCGTACGTTCCACTACAGCGCATTCCTATACTAACTAGTTGTCGCGTTTTGAGTTCCTTTCCGTCAGTGGCTACCGTATGTGTCATGAGCAAGTACCGAATTGCGTACATGGCACAGCCAATTTGTCGCAACAGGTAGCCGTACCTACCATAGCGGTTATTGGCAAGATGGCAGCGGAGAACTCGTCCGAAATTGATTTCTGAGTCATTGGGAACGAAGGATTTTCTTGGGAGGTTTTCGACCGTTTTACTTCGTTTTTTCACCATTTTCTCACTATATAGCACCCCACTAGCATTTTAGCCCGAATACCGAATTATCGTGCCATAAGCCTTTACCGATTACTTTATAAAAAGCATCCGGGACGGACCCATTCCAGACCTCCTGACACCGCCCCGAGTGCGATGATATCCACTATCTATGAGTCCACTATCTATATCGCTATCTATATCGCTGAGAGCACCCCGAAAGACAGCCTACTGTCGTCGCTGTCTCTCGGGGTGTTCGGTGTAGCCCAGAGTTCCAGAGGCCACATTTAGTTGAAGCGCAAATTCAAGCATCTAAAACAATGTTCAGCGACAAAGTGACGCCAGAATGCTGGCTCCAAAATGCTCAGAAAACTTCCTCTGGGACCCTCGAGACTGATGTGCACTGCAACGGTCAGCTGTATAAATACTCATATTTTGAAGCAAGTTTTAATCTGGTAAACTTCTATGTGAACTTTTTACAACATGCAATATTTGAAAGAGTTCGGGAAACTGATTACTGAGATTCGTTTCAAGCAGCCTTCATAGAAAATCATTAAAATCAGTTTGTATGTACAATATAAAAACATGCGACTGCTTAGCACTTTCAAAGAAAATCTGTGAAGAAAAACGCAATCTCAAAGAATATAAGGCGAAAGCATACAACGATCCACGAACCGAATAACAGCAAATCTAGTGAGTTGTGCTGTGCGTGCAAAAACACGGAGCGAAGCCCTAATCTAGACTTTTGGGCTGACTAGATTTCATTCGTTATAGGCTGAATGCTGTTTTGGGCTGATGAAAAAGATCTGGAGAACTTCAGGAGTTGTCATGAAAGATTTTGAAAGAGGTGTCTAAAGTTAAATGTCCTGGCGTTCACTTTCAGCAACGCAGTGGCAAAGCGCACATCACCAGCAGGACCTGGGAGATCTCAAAACGCGGGACCAGTAGATGGTCCGCCTGTTCAGTCTATGATCAAGATACAACTACGTCCGACTGCAGAGTGCACCCATGAATGCAGAAGTTCTTGGGGTAATATTGGCATTTGTCATTATTTTTGCCAGGAATAATTTGCTGATCACTAAGAATTTATGCACAAGCATCCAATTTTCTCAGTGTTCCAGCAGTTTTGCATCAGCCCATTAGCAACCAGCAGAGCTACGTGAGCAGGTTAAAATAGCCCGGAAAAAAACGCAATGACTTGTTTGTGAAGAAGTGCCCATATTTGAGAGAAAAGTGGTAAAGTCATACAGCAAAGCACAAAAGCATAACCGCTCATTCATGAGGTGGGTTTCGGAAGTATCTATCACACAGCATTGTTTTTAGGAAGGCACTTTATGCCCAGCTGCCTCCACCACCTTCGTCCTTGACGGGCTTTGACGGATAAAGCCCGCGTCCGCCATCTCCAGCATTGTCATCGTAAATCGGACCTGGTGCTACAGGATAAGCACCTCCGCCTATAAATGGACTTCACTGCATCTCATTATGATAACTGATTAGAAAAAGAGTGAAAATTGATAATTTCGGGAATAATTCGATCCTAGAAAATTATAACGTAATTTTACTGATACCAGATAATGAGCAGTTTCGATTCCAACACTAGAGGATATACCTAGCATGCAGCCATGACTATCTCCCTCATTATCAGTTGAGACTAATGGCTACAACGCCTCTCTTTTCTTCCCGTCGTCACAGCGAAAAAGAATCAATTGTCTGGCTTCATCCCTTCCTCCCCCCCCACACCTTCATATTATCTCGAAATATCTAAAGACCAAGGGTAAAGCTTCAGTGTTGACGATCTCCCTTTTGGAATGTCATTTATACTTCTATACAAAATCGTAGAGGTTCTTGAAGGCAATATCACCCAGAAAATTAATTACTGCGCAAGCCAATAAACAGGTCAGCGCTTTTTTACTCCTCGACAACCCGGTACCGATTCCACGCCCTTAAGCGATGAAAGGATTTCTTACAGAGTAGGAGAATCAAGCCCTTACCACCCCGGAACCTTGCACGTATCAAACAGGTCCAACTTCCGCTAACCACTTCAAAAAATTACGAAGAATATTCAGAAAAATCAAGAACCTGACGAGTACAGTCCTCATCAGCTGGCCCACTAGTCGACGCTCGACCGTGGTCGTACCCTCTGGGTGGGAAATGCAACTTTCTCAATTAGGGGAAAGTTGGATTAACAGAGACTGCAAAACCCATGAAGTTTGCCTCTTCCAAAGTACCTTCACTACCCCACCCCCCTTGGTGGCTTAACCTTTACCCCAATAGCTCTTATCACTAGCCTTACTTTAGCACATAAATTGTTTCTACTTTTACATGCAACAAATATAGGAGAATATAAATTTTTTTTTCAAAATCTCGTTTCTTCTATTTGTAGCATAAAACACGCCACAACGACGAAAACTTTTCAAAAGAACCTTGATAGTCACCTCCACCATAGCCACCTCCACCGTAGCCGCCCATTCCCATTCCGCCGCCGCCCATTCCTCGTGAACCTCCGCCACCTGAAACATTTCCTGGATATTACGAGTACACGAAAATAACATTATGAGGTAAGCCTCAAGAAAGAAGGAGATCTCAGCATACGTCGTCCAGAAATCAAGTTTCCAAGGATCGACCCAATTCCTGCTCCTCCCATACTGCTCGCAATGTTTCTGAACATCGAACCGCCTCCACCGGCACGACCGCCGCCACCCATACCTCCACCAGGACCACCCATGCCGCCTAAATATTTCACTTACAGGAGGTATCCAAACATGGAAGTACTTCTGATCTTACCATCAGACGGAACAGCAGATCGACCGCCACCGCCTTTGCCACGACAGCAACAGCAATATATGCAGCAGCAACAGCACAGAAGTGGGATGATAATACCGATGAGTGCAAGCCAAAACCATCCCGGGATCGATGGTGCCTTGAAACCGCCACCTGAAAACACGGATTGGACAGAGTAAAAACAGAAGAAAATCCACATAGAAAGAGAACCTACCTCCCATACCTTTGCCGCCAGAATCTATTCCAAAGCCAGCATCAGGCGTCGGTTGCCCGCCTCCTCCCATACCACGACCACCGGAAGGTCTAGGAGGTGCGCCCTGCTTTGAAAGTGCTTTTTCCCTGAAATGCTGACATGGAATAAGGTTGAATCAGCTCCTGAAAAGTACCAAGACAATCAAAACCTCCAATATCTGTAAGACTTCCAAACGCATCACTCAAAAGTTGCCGACGGTATTTTCGAAAGTAAAGCCGTTTTTAATCGTAACTTTCATCTTGGGTGAACTCGGCTAGGGTTTAGACTCTGGCGATGTTTCACTCCCTTAACAAGAATATCTCACCCACTGGCTCGAATCCAAATGTTTAGGCTTCTGCTCCTCGAGCGTGTGCCACAGGCGCCGAAGCCTTAATGCAACGTAGGCACGGAGAGGAAGCTAATCCTAAACAGCACATCCACTTGGAGCAATAACGTCCTAATGCCCCACGAACAACGGCGCCAGACTGGCTTCCTGCGTCGGCAACTACGACGCCCAGCGTCTGTGGCGGGCGCTAGGCGCACAGCAGACGTGATTTTCGCATAAACGGTCGAACCGCCCAAAGATAAGGCTTTGGCCAAATCTTCAACTGGAAAATTTCGACCGATTTCGGAGAGGGGGCAGTAAAGGGTAAGTAGTACCAGGCTTTCTCCAAACTGCCTCAACAACTTACACAGCTCGTATCCCGCGAATGAGGAGTGTGTGCACAGGAGTTAGGTGTGAGCCAAATAAGCATTGCGTGTGTTTCAGAGAGCGCGGAAGGCACAACAGCACCGCCATCAAACCAGCAACGCTGATCGCACGCACGCACCGGCTGCCTCACAGGAAACTAACATATCTAGGATATGGAATGTAAATGTGAATGCTCATTAACTAAGCTATGTGACCAGAGGTTCAAGAGAAGCGATGTGGGATCCCGGTGATGTATCAAACAAAAGGCATTGTGTCGATAGACTACAAGTGTCGCCTTTAACTACCTTCCGAGGTAAACGGTTCAGTCCACTACTCAGCACGCTTACATCAGATCTAATACCAACTGGTGTCAAATTGGATGAAAATTCCAGTTTTAAATGAAACAACTTGAACACAGTGTAATAACCCAAAGCTCGGTGTATAAAAGTGGGTCGTGGTTTCATGAAAGTCTCAGCGGCACTACTTGCCCTTTACAGCCCCAGTCGTCCGAAATCTGGCCAGTTTTTTTTTTCGTGGGTAGAATTGAATAAAAATTTGTCTTCGTCTTTCTTTTGGGGTAATTTGGCCTCCTGAACATGCATATCACCTGTTCGGCACGAAAATGCCCTGAACCACCAAATTTGCTGAACACCTGTTCCCAAGGGTAGCCTGACCTAATGACCACGAATATCACATGCGCTTGGCCCGAAAGCTCCCGGCGCCCCCGCCACAGGCACCGTCGCCAAAATACCCCAGACCATCAACGCCCATGGCCCGGACGCAAGGAGGTTTCGGCCCAAATAAATGTGATATGCCTACTCAGGAGGTTCCCCACGGGATCGCATTTGGGGCAAGCCTGTACACGGAGAAAAAAGTCGGTCAAAAACTGGCTCGATTCCGAACGATTGATGTAGTGAAAGGTAAATAGTACCGTCTTAACGACACAATACCCACCTAATTGTTCGAAAAAAACGAAAAAAAAACGCCGATTCGCGTTTTTTTCGTTTTTTTCGCTATAACTCAATTTGTGTGAACTTTTCTCATATAGAACCCTATACCGTTAGACTCAGCTCGTCGAGTTCTATGAGCTGGTATCCTTAAAAACTGAAAAAGTCGAAAATTGAACTCTGCTTCCTATCGAAGTACCTGAAGACACTCGTTAGCGAGCGAGTCTCGCTATAATTGTAACCAGAGGGTAATCGTTGGGAATTAAATCATTCAGGACTCAAATAACGTGCTGTATCGCGTAAGAAGTGATTAAAAATTAGATAGCTGTGTTTCCCAAATGCTGCTGATCATTTTGGTGCCGATTTTTCTGGAAATAGAGGGGTTTTGCTCGATGTCATTTTCGGACGATAAAGCCTTTCCACTCCAAAAAATCTCGAGCAGTGGTTCAGTTCGGACCGCACGAGCACAACAGGCCTAATGTATGGAGCCCTGTTTTCCCCAATATTTGCAAAATTCAAGAATGATGTCAAAAGAAGGGTTTTTTAGCAACTTGAAATGAGCACTTCGTGCGATACTAAGGCAAATACTCGATTTCAGCGTTTTGAAACGAAATTCCCAGCGCTCTCAGTGGCCCTGTAAGTTCCATAAAGAATTCATCAGTACAGAACGCGTTGTGCTCCCCAATAACTTGGTGGAAAACAGTGGCATATTTTGGACTGGTTGCCGTTATCGGGAGCCAACTTCAAGACCTTTATTTCAAAGCAGAATCTACGCGCTTTTCAAAGAAAGAACATCTCAGTCAAAGAAACACCACTCGAATCTCTATGAAAAATGCTATCTATTCATATAAAAATCACCTTATCTAACCCTCTATGACTTTTTGCAGATTTCCCCGGCTATCTGCCCTGTCAGCGGTCAATCGACCTCCTAAGTAGGGGTTAGATAAAAATGGTACGATCACACCTCCGTTAATTATGCCTCGCTTATGCCTCGCCCCTAGGTGCGAGACATCATTAACGAGGTGCGAAGCGACCTCATTAAGCAGGGGGAAATCGTGCTCGAGTGCGAAGTGACCTCATTCAATGAGAGATCATTGAGTTATCGAAATCGGAATAAATCGAGTGAAAACTAAACTATCAGGAAATTAAAAAAAAACGTGAGGCTCACGAACAATTACTTATAAAAATGCTGGCACTACATGGTAAAATCAATTACTGATTGACCGACAGTGGAAAGCTTATCCATATGGTCTTCCTAGTTATCATGCTATCTAGAATTCGGCATAAATCGAGCCGCTACGGCTTACGAAGACTTGGAAGTCGCGTGGAAATCTTTGAAAATTACGGAGGGATTCCTTGCATATCGCTAAGATCTCACTGCCTGCTCTTCGGCGGGTTAAATACAGGTAATGACCTTCTGGCCTCGTCTATATTGTCCCCATAACGACTTCGATTCCCGTTCTTATGTGTATGAAACCTTTCCAGGGTTCCCTCAGACATCGTGCCCCACTCCTTTGTATGTAACACCGCCACCCAATTTTTCCCCGGCACCAGCACCTTCGTACGACGTAGGGCTTGCACCACCACATAGTTTCCCCCCCGCCGGCACCTTTCTACTACGTCGCTCGGGATCCAACATACACCGTTATCCCTGTACCAGAAACTTCTTACTACGTGGAGCCCTTCTCTCCATACACTTTTTCCACCTCCCGGGCAACTTCCTCTTCAGCAACACCCT